TAAATGCAGTTGTAAAAGCAAGGGACTCTTGTGCAATTCAAAGTGCCATAACAGTTTAAGTTGTTGCAATAAATAAGATTGTATAACGTTAATCACATAATATATGTGTAAGTTTATTATTGTATTATTTTCTTTTCTGATTAAGAATGTACTGTTCATTTTAGGTTCAACAGTTTAAATGTGCTGTTACTTAAGCTTTCTCCTATTTTGACATATTAAAATGTTGCACTTTTGTCTTAATGTAATAAAAATATTTTTATTCAACATTCACCATCAGTGCATGCTGAATGTCGACATTTGCCGGTGTAAGTGAGAAATAACGATATTTAGCAAATATTTCGTACATATACGAAACGACTGTGTGAATGCTGACATTCACCGGAGAATATTGACATTCGCCAGATATTGGTCATTCACAGTAACATATATATAAATTACGTGCCTATATATATATATAGGCACGTAAACAAAGTATTCATAGAACTAATACATTTTAAAGGAAAATAGTACATTTTTTGAAGGCGCTTCAGTACGTTTTGAAATTTCATTGCGGCAACACTGACTATAAGCTTGATGCCACTATTAAAGCAGCCAAAGTAGACAAATCAAGAATACTAGACAGCAAAAAAAGTACTATAATCTTGAAAACAAACTCAAAATCTTCCAGGCTACAAGTGAAAAAAAACATCTGTCTTCTCTTAGATTCTACTAACATCAATTAAATCAGAAAGGGAATTCGCAGTAGCAGGACTTTTCATTACTAAAATACGAATCAGATTGACTGATCGGTGTATTGACCATCTTTGCTTTTTAAAATCTTATTATAAAAATTTACAATAATATTTTGCATTATGTTTTAAATAAAATAAAACACAAAAATTACCTTTTAAGTTAGAAGTTTGATCTAAGTTCATTTTTTTTAAATTTTCAACTGAATTCAAAGCATTTTTTTGTTGTTGTATGCAGTTTCCATCAAACTCTAATAAATTTTTTCTATTTGTAAAAATTTCTACGTAATTCAAAGGTAATTTTTAATATATATCTTATACAGCATTATGCATATGATTTTGGAAGTTGCAGAACGTATTAAATTACTTTAAAAAACGAAAAATAATTATATCATTTGATTTCATGATATTTTGTATATCTTAAAAATAATTAATTCGGTCCTGGGATTCCGCTGGGATTTGCCGGAATCCCAGGAGACAGTTCACTTTTTTCCCGGGACAAGCAAAAGACCGGGAAATGAGAAACTCTACTTCTTATACTTCATTAAGTCATCATATATTAAATATTTTAAACTAAATGAGAATTTAGAATATAATAAAACTTACATAAATATTAACGGCTTATTAGATAATCGAAGAGATGGGAAATAATAAAATTCACTTTCAGAAGACGACGACAACCTCCACGTATTACCACCATATTGTTTACTCTTCCCGTGATTCTCTTCTAACGGTTATTTTCGTTGTTGATCAGAGCCTAAAGTCATAAGTGTAATATATTAATAATAGATATTAATTAAAAGTGAATTATTTCTAAGTAGAAAGGCTTCATATTCATCCTTAATTTTAATATGATGTAATTGATCACGTGATTAGAGTCACCGTACGTCATCAAATGAGTTATAGAACATAATAAACATTTATAAATTTTGCTTATCTTAAATTACAGCGTTAAATTAACAAAAATGTAAACTAAAACGATAAAAAAAATTTGTAAAGTTTTATATAAATGCATTTTACAAAATATCGTATATTTATTGGCATTAAGAGAAAGAAAAGAAGGTTGATGGGGGAATTCAAATCCCCTCAAACGAAAGAAGAAAAATTCTACAGGGATCAATTTATAAACTTAACGAAGTTATTTATCATTATCATATAAGTTTAACTCTTAAAAAATTTATGTAAAATATTCAGTTTTTTTCGACTTAAAATAACCGTTATTTATAACATAACACACCAACCTGTAGATCGCGATCTACTTCGTGTTATTTGCAAAAAAAAAAAAAAAAATTGTTTAAACCGAAAGTATTATTTCATTCTTCCCTGTATTTATGTATAAACGAAATTTTTAAAGTGTAGAAGAACGAAATAAAATTTAAAACGGAAGTTATTTCAACTTAAGGTTTTAAAACTTTTCAAATTCGTTTCTCCGAACGTATTAGTTACAGTCGCCATATTGTATGCAGCGACGCGACGCGTTGCTATTTTGATTAGAATGCAATATTTATTTCTGTAATTCTCCAAAATATTATATTTAAACGTATAAATCATCATATTTTGACCAAAATTATAGAGTATTAGGATCCCCCCTTCGCAGCCTCTCCAGCTCTTATATATTCAAGTTGTTCAGGAACAATTTTCCCCGCAGCACAGCAAAGTCCAAAAGTTTCATCATACCATTTTTTGGCAAAACATTGATCACAGATTTTGATTCTTTTACCTCTTTCGTATCCAAATACCTTCCCAGTCTTTGAGACCGCTCTGCTGTAGATTCACGTTGTAAAGTCACGATGTCACATTGTTCATAATTGTAGACAATTATGAACAATAATAGCTCTACGTTTTCGTGCTCTCGACATTATTTATCAATTAATCTCAAAAATACTTACTTGACATAAATCCAATAACTAATTCGAATATTTTGTACATTTACCTGCAGAAATTAGTGCGTAACAATTCGAAAAGCCGCCTTAAGTAACATACTGCCATCTAGCGTGGTGACGTCACTTTTTTAATTCCTTCAAGATTTTGCTAATTCACTAATTATAACTTAATGTCCGTTTTTCAAATATAATAGTAAACTTTAATAGACTTTCTCTTTTAAACAGAAAGTACTAATTTATGCGTCGCCATCTAGTGAAGAGAGAGAGAAATAGACAGACAAAAATTCGTTGCAGTTTTATTTAATTAATAAAAAATCTGTAGGTTCGATTAGTGGTAAACATTCCGGGGATCATAAAGATGCTATAGTTAAAATTTGGTAACGATTGGTTCAGTAGTTTTCACGGTTAGTGGTCACAAACGAAAAATACGTTGTCTCTATATAGTAAAGTAGGGGAAGGTGAGGCAGGATGAGGACGTTAAGGTTTGAAAAGTCATAAGATGGCAACCACTTTAATGAAAACGATTATTTTTTTATTCTCAGCAACTACATTTGGTAATATATAATACAAAATGTAATTTTTGAAAAACGTTTTTATAAACAACAAAATGTAATATTTTAAAAGTATATGTAAATGCGCCATCTTGCCCCACCCGCGGGGTAAGATGGGGATATTATTTTTATACAAAAAGAGGACAAATTAAAACGTTTTCTTCAATATTGGCGCAATAACAATGCGCCCATTTATCACAGCGGCTACATTTATTATTATTTTCCGAATAAATAAATATAAAAGTTTGAACTTACTCGTATTTACTTTACCAGACAATACTGTCACTTCGTGCACGCTCAGTTTCGCTATTTTGTAAGCNGTGGGAAGAATTACTATAGAAAAATATTTTTTCATTTAGTAG